ACTGTATCGTTCTCACTGAATGTGCCCACTTCGACTAGAGAGCGAATGGCTTCTACGAAATTTCGCTGACGCACTTGAACCTACAAGAATAATGAACATAGAGCGACAGAGTTTGAAAATAGTGTTTATTGCTGACCGCTTTCGGTGTTCCTGTAGAACCACTAGTGAATATGACGTATCCAATGTTGTCGCCACTCACTGCAACGTGTGAGAGGCGATCACGGTCGTTGTCGCTCACTTCGCTGTTCATATTCAGAGCTTGGTCAATATCTAATAATGCATGATGACCATCGAATATCTCTCGTGTGGACGCATGAACGAGAACAAGGCGACTATGAGTTTGTTCGACGAGAGCGTGCAAACGGTGAAGAGGATCTTGAGGTGACAGCGGACAATATACTGCACCGACCGTCTCGATCGCCATGATGCCGATGACCTAAACAATGAAACAAATGGGGAGTTCATACCAAATGTGCAGAATTTTGGGATGAGAAAAATTGAAAGTATTTTAGAATCTCGGCGAGTGTGCGTCTGGATTTGAATTTTGGGGATGGGATGAATGGAATTGTCGAGTGGTATGCTATGGTAGATATAAATGGTTCGCTTCGAAACATACTGAGGTAATATACACGCATGAAAACCTAGTTTCGCCGCGAACGGAACCATTGACCCCATACCGCTATTTGCATGGTGCCTTCCTCATAGGTAACAAAACCACCATGCGCAGATACGCCAAGAACGCTACATAAATAATATCCAACGAGATTCACGTAGCTGGCCATCGAACAGTACAAAACTCTACTCCAGCAACATCTGACAGTCGATTCTTCAAGCGTCACTCGTCCGCTCAAAATGCACCAAAAAAACTTACCATAGATAAGCTTCGCTCGACACATTGGCATACAATATCACCAACCTTCACACCATGTGTGTCTATGAGAACAACAGCCAAGTGTTGAGCGTAAACTAACAGTTCACTATACGTGAGGAACTGTTCATCCAAATCGACAGCCACTTTTTGTGAATAGTTCGAAGCTTTCTCGTAAAACAACTGAGAAATGATTTGATCTGTTGACGATGGTCGGTGATTATCGTTGTTTTTCATGGCATCAATGAGTAGTTGTTCATGTGGAAGAATCAGCGATAATTGACAAAGAGGCTGTTTCTCAGTAGTGAAGAGAGCAGAGTTGAACAGGTGATGCAGAAGGCACGAGAATCGTTCGGTCATTAACTGTACAGTGGTATCGTCGAAAAGATCTTGTGAACAGACGAGAGAGCAGGATATTCCGGTTGATTGACTGTGAACAAAGGTAACCATCATGTCAAACTTCGCTATGTGATCAAAGAGATCCGCTGATATCGATTGCAAAACGGTACCACCCAGATTTACTCGTTCGATGTTGGATTCATCGGTGATAAAGTCGAACATAATCTCAAGAAACGCCGGTGCATGATGACTACCGATGATGTGTTGAAGAGGATAGTGTGAGTGTTCAAGTATCGACAGACATCGATCTCGCACTTGTCCAACCAGTTGTTCGAACGAGCCATTTGGATCTAGCTGAACTCGATAGGGTAGTGTGGCTACGAACATTCCGATCATATTTCGCAGTTCTACTCTGTATCGATTAGAATTGATCGAACCGACACACAGATCTTGTTGACCACCAGTCAGCTTGAATAAGTATGCATAGAAAGTGGCAAGACCGAGTTGAAAGGGCGTGACATTGTGTAAAGAAGCAAACGACAGAAACGAACGAGAGAGATCATCGTCGAAGGTGAACTGTCCCACCCATGCTCCACCAGATCGCTCGTCGGACAATCGATGTCGATCAACGGGTAACACCAAGCCACGCTCCAGATCATATGCATCGAGTTGTACACGCCAGAAGTCGGCCGATGCTGACATGCCTAATTGTCGTTCGTGTGCCGCGTAGTCAATGTATTGCAGAGCGCTGTCTTCAGTTTCCAGTTCATCATCGCTCTCATATGCAACAGAGAGATCACGGAGAAAGGTTGCTGCTGACCCTCCGTCGAAAGCCGAGTGATGAATGTTAAACGAGATGATGTCGCCGTCGCTTAGCTGATCATCATTATCATCGAAGGAGTGAGTATGTTGACGAATGATTTGACAGTGGAGCACACGACCTGTCGCCAAGTCAAACAGATCTGAGCAGCCCAATATCTCGAGCATGTTAGTCTGCTCGTCATCGACGCAAGTCACACGGAAACCAAAGTAGCCTTGTGCGCGATCCGTACTCGGCAGCACAGTTTGTATGAGAACTCCATTTGTGTCGGTGCTTATCTTAGTACGCAAAATCGAATGTTTGGCGACGAGTGAGTGAAGTGCTCGGCGCAGTCGACTGATGGACAATGAACTTAGAACACATGATAGGCGGTAGATCAAAGGAACCGCGTACACATTCTTGTCTTTCGATATCAGACGAACTTGTTCGTCGAGAAAGATTCGTTCTTGAGCAAACGATAGTGGACCTTGAGTGACGCAGAGTGGAAACCACTGTTCTCGATGGTATCGCTCGTCGTTGATGGATAGAGCGAGAAGACGAGCATGGTCGATGATGGTCGTATGCTTAAACAGTTGAGCGATGTTCAGAGCTTGTGTGTCGAAGTCGAACGTCGTCTTGTAACGATGATAGAGTTGCATGAGAAGAAGAGAGTGACCGCCGACGCTGAAAATGCTTGCTGTGGTAGGAATTCGAGTGTGGCCTAACAGTTCGCACCAAAGTGAGTGAATGCGCGCTTCAAGTTCGGTGTTCGACTCAGCGGTTTGATCGTAGTTTACATCGGAAGTGGACGATGATAGTAGAGAGGAGAAGTCGGGTGCGGGAAGGAGTTGTCGGTCCACTTTGCCGTTAGCGTTGAGTGGTAGTTGTTTGACTACGATGAACACTGATGGAACCATGTACGAGGGGAGATGCGATTCACAGTGCTGGCGAAGTTCTTTCTCGCTGATGTCATCACTTTGCACATAGGCAACTAAGTGATCATCATCCCACTTGACGACCACGCTGCTCGTGATGAGTGGCGACGCTTCGAGTACACATCGTTCGATTTCACCAGGTTCGAGACGTTGTCCACGTAGTTTGATCTGATGGTCTTTCCGACCAACATAGTAAAGCAAGCCATCGTTATCGAGTCGGACCAGATCACCTGTTCGGTAGAACACTTGACCATCGATGTCGACGAGTGCTCTGTCTGTCAGATCGTTACGCCCGAGATAGCCAGCGAAAACACCTACGCCACCCACCAATAATTCACCCTCTTGATTGAGTGTGACTGGCTGTGAGAACTCGTCCACAATCAGACATCGATAACCAGGGATGACGGTGCCAATGGCAGTACGACTGTGCTCACAACTCATGTCGATACGATGGATGATACAAGCAATCGTGGTTTCAGCTGGACCATAGTTATTCCACACAACACACCGACCGGGTGATTCCGTAGTTGAAGATAAATGTTTGTTTAATCGCTGTATAAGTTTGGTTGGGAAGGGTTCGCCTAAAAGAGAGCAGTGATTGTGTTCAGTTCAAAGGGTAAACCGATGGAAAACGGGTATTTGAGATGGAGTATGAACTTAGGCGTTCAGATACAGTATTTCTCGCTTTGGAAAGCATCTCAGTTGTACGAACGTGGAAACTCGCCCTCATCATATGAAAGTACTCAAGTTATAATCGAATGTAGCGCGATTACTCAAACTATCACACGTACGAATCTAGGTGGTCATGAGAGCTTTTCGCAGCACAATCCATCTGTACTGTGCGTGGAGACATATCACCCGACACCCACATATTGCCCGAAGAAAATACGATATATGCTCACAAGACGAGACATCGGCGAAAGCGTTCGCAATGTTATGACTGCTGATAATCGGCTATCATTAAATCTGGTATTCTGTTTTAGAACATGAAATTCACGTTGTTCTCAGCTAATGCTCGTCAGCTAGTGTTCCCTTCTCTTCTCTATTAACGTTTTGTTCTTCACCCTCTTCGAACACTTAGTCTTCTAGTCACTTGTTGAAAGTGGAAATTTCGTTCTCTTCCTTTGCTTTCGTGCAGCATGGTCGTTTTTCGGTATACCGCTTCTTCACCGAAGCTCTCTTTACTCAGATCGTATTGGCAGAATGACATTGTTTGATGTTGCTGTGCGACCGATATGCGATCGTCGCGGGTGAACTCCGTTTCGTACCACTTGATTTTTCCGAACTACCGGAGCCGATGTCCGCTACGAAAATCGTGACCAAAAAGCCACTGCCAATTTTATCATGAAGTGTGTAATCGAAAACATGAGGTATTTACGTCAGATGTCCGGAACGATCTATAATCGGTAGATCATACCTATAACACGCAGTATCAATCAGTAAGGATGGAGCGGTACAAATTTAATTAGAGGCCGGACTGGAACAGCCAGAAGTCCGTAATGATTAGCGATCGAAATGAAGGCGACACTGTATTCGTATTGACATGAAATTTTTGTCCATAACAAAATAGAACGTGTAGTAATACCTTATTTTTGTAGTTATTCTTGTAAATATTGAAAACAAAAGACAAGTCCTTATGCTCATAACGATCTACAGCAAGTTCTTTTACGAACTCCATGACGCGATCAATTTACATTTTCAGTTAATTCAATCTTGTATCTTACGATCACCGTGACTAAACTAGCTACATTCTAAACGTTTTGTTCCAAATAACTAATTACTGTATTAAAATCTCCTTGTTTTCTAATTTTATGATATTCGGTAGAAAAGAAATTTCGAACTCCTGTCACACGATCCAAAAATTTCCGGACATCCCGCATTCTGGACTCCTCCACGGAAATAAGAAAAAAAAATCCGAACCTCCATTCATGCCGCTAGATGATCGGAACAGGTGGTACGAAACGTAATTTTCCCATCCTTGCTCTCAGTAACGGAAGATATCCTGCGCACTTAAAGCCACAAACTCCAATCATTTCAAACAGGTTCGTCTTTCGTCTTTCTCAAAAAAGAACAACTCAATTCGCTCACAGTCCACTAGTTGAATCAATCGACGGCTCTCTGATAATCATCAGCAGGATCCCAAACGAGCTCGCGCACTTTTTCCTTTCTCAAAGCAGTCTAAGATATCTCAGGCATCGTCATGTACTCACCACCACAGCACAGAGATCGAACTCGATCCAAGCATCGACCGCCGACGC